GCGAAGCAGCCAGCTTAGCATCAAAATTGGAAGATTTTGAATTGGCCTTACTCTGTGTGCTTTGGGACTGTATACTGGAACGGTTAAATGCCACGAACAAGACACTTCAGAAAATTGAAATTGAAATGGCTACTTGTGCTAACCTCTATGCAGGCTTAGTGGAATTTGTAAGCTCACTTCGCAATGATGAAGCTTTTGAAATGTTTGAAGAGAAAGCTAAACTGCTGGTGAAAGACTACAGTTACCGGGCTGATCATCAGTGGTCAAGGAAGAGGAAATGGTCAGTGGTCAGTGATTTATAAAGGGAATAATAGTGCTGTAGTGGTTATGCTGAATATAATAGGTACATGATGTCACTACTTTAATAGCCTAATCTAGTAATACTATGCTGTCTTGAGTTTATTCTCTTTAAAATGCATGATTTAACAAGATAGTTATAATGGCTGTTGGTAAATGGTTTTGGTTGTCTTGATGTACTTTCCCTATTAAATTTAATCTAAATAGCCAGAATGTATTTAATTAGACCTTAAACAGGCTCACACCGACCCCCCCACCCCCAAGCTGGAAGGGGTAGCTTCGCTTACCCGCAACTCAAAGGGGCCCCGCCAATCTGAATAGCCTAGGGCCCGGAGACTTCTTAATCCGGCCCTGTGTACACTGTGTAACATAAATGATGAACTATTTTATAAATATATTTCACTATACTTTATAAACATTTTTCAAAAGTTTTCACATTAATTTACCATTATATATTATATTTAGTGGGAAGTGCTAAACCCACATGGGTCATACAGCAGCTAGGGGAGTGGGAGGTAACTGGATTCAATCCAGGGAAATGGAGAATAATTCCAATTCTTTGGATTAAGTCTTTTGATGGCATCGAGGCACCTCCCTTTTCGAAGGGATTAATTTACCACAAATCCCTAAACACTTCAAGATTTACATTACTGAATACCCATCTCCTTACCAGTGAGACGACAAAATGCAAAAAGCTATATAAAAATAAAAACCATACCTCGACATATGATGGTAATTATCCTCTGAAGGTAATTAATGAAAGGAGAATAGAGCATGGCAGGAGGCTAACTCACTTCTCACCTCATATAGTCAAATAAGATGCCAAAAAAAAAAAAAAAACTGAAACACATTATCAACCATGAAAGCGGCAAGTGGCACAAGCAGTCAGACTCATAAGCTATCAGCATACAATCTCTCACCTGGCTGTCATCCAAACAACTTGTAGCACACTAATGCTCCACCTTAATACGCTGTGTAAACTATGAATACACTGTATATAATACAGTATACAAAAAATTATAATAATCAAGCATGAAAAACTGCAACCAAGGAAAAAAAACAGCTTAATAAGACTGCCCGTAGCACAAGGCACATAGCGATGGTCTACCAACTAATTGAACTTTAATTTTTATATTAAGTGGAAACAATATATTAGCTATGAGCAGAGATACAGCAATCAAAGTGTTTGGGAGCCAGATAAAGCATTTTTCATTATACTCTAATAAAATTTGCCAGTAAGAAATTATAAAGTCCAGCATAGCACAGGAAAACAACACAGGCAGGAAAACTGATAATGCTAGAAATTAATACATGAAATTATGACATTAATCAAGACTATATAATTAAGGAAAAATTAAGGGATATTTTAAAACATGACTGAAGAGAACGTGAGTGATTCACTGTATGAGTGCCTTGTGCATATGGGTGTGCGGCACTACGGCAGCTTGCCTCCCACAACACCTGTCCTATCATGGACACATTAGGCAGGACAGGTGAGAAGGGTGACTGGGCAGCAGCTCAGGTGGGGCGGCATGGCCACAAACCAACCAGATCAGGAGAGCACAAGCCAGTCACAAGCTTACAAAAGAAGTGCACAGCTGAAGCCACCACTGCTGCCCAAGCACCACCTGCAGGCCAGTTGGGCAAGTCAGGGTGACAGATCATGTGTGGAGCAAGCTGTGCAGGCAGTGCTAGAGCAGCTAGATGGTAGCAACTGCTCTGGGAGGAGCCTTACACTGTTGTTGCGCCCGACCCGAGAGCTCGCGGATGAGTGCCGCATGCTCTGTCTCCATGGGCTTCGACCCCAAGGTGTTAACACAATTCAATGTGCTCCTGAAACACAAGGGTAGAAACAGGGCGTCACACAGGGCAGGGCACAACACACTTACACTGGCAAGCATACATACCCATACATACCTTGTACTCAAGATTTACATGGGACAAGTACAGTATTAAGAAAATCTGTAAATTTCCAGAAAATATTATACATAAAAATTTACTATTCTTGATGCTGTCTTCTCCTGCTAACACTACTTCTGCCACACTTTACATAATTGAAACACTTCTTTACAGGAGCTCTAAGATTTGATTTAAAACAGCTGCATTAGTAAGTGCAGTCACACTGTGCTGTAGTTTTAATGCAAGATAAAGTTCACTGTTTTATCCTACACTTTTTTAACATAAGACATATTTGAGTGTGATGATGGCTTTCCATAGCTGTAGACTGCTGTAGTGTGTTTTTTACAGATGATAAGAATATTTACAGATGTGCCTCTTCTTTCTGTTCAGGGCCACCACTCTCTTCTGTGCTCTTCTCCCCTCTGCAACAAGTCAAAAAATGAACTAATATAGAACTAAATAAGTTAACCAAGAAATAAATACTGCAACACAAAAAATAAAGAGTATGTAAAATGAAGTAAAGAATATAGGTTAAATCAAAGAAAACAAAGTAACAGAGTGCTTAAGAAATGAATATTAAACAAAAAGTATATAAAATGGCAGTTAAGTGGAAATTAATGTTGCTGGTAGTATTGAACCATTTTTCATTTTCTCTTTGTAGCAAATAGTTAAAGTAAACATTGTGATGTGACAAGTGAGAAAACAACAACACTGTCTAGTGTAAAACTTTTCTTATATTGTTTTCAAACTAAGGAACAAGTTATCATTAACATTATTTCTATCACTGGCCTACATACAATACACAAATAAGCTTCTATGACTTTCCTATGTACATCTACTTCATTAATAATAGGGTTATTAATATACAGTACTGTATTCAGTTAAATATCAAAGCAATGTCTTAACACACATTGCACCAGTGTCCACAATATCAAAGTTTGTACACCAACATCCCATCATCTTTATTCTACAAACTAAATTTCTATGAGTCTTATTGACGATTACACTAATTCCTCAATTTTAAATCCCACTGGAATCACAGACATATCTAATTCCTTAAGGGATCATATCTGAACTAACATTATAGTGCCCCAATACACTGGTATAACTACTGACAAGATAAGCCACAACATCTCTCTCTTGGCCAATATTAACAAAGTCCCAACGACAAGCAAAAAACTTACTTTAAGACTCCATAAGTGATGCATCAATAAACAACTTTATCAAACTCATAAAACACAGGTATTAAGAAAATATAAAATATATAAATACATATAAAATATAAATAAAAAATATAAATATAAAAAAGTAAATGTAAATACTGAAGCTAACAACAAATACAAAAATAAATAAAAAACTAAAAAATATAAATACAAAAAAGAAAATGTAAATACTGGAGCGAACAACTGCACCAATATACTCGATCCCCTGAAAATAAAATTAATTACTACAAAAGGCAAAATAATCCATGGTTCACTAAAGGTATATTGTACTTTGATCCATTGACAAGAAACATGACCATAACAAGGTCAGCATACAGGCACTGCATTTCCCACTCCCAGGACTCAAGCTTGGCTAATTGATTTCCCTGAAACCCTTCATAAATGTTACCTTGCTCACACTCCAACAGCACATCAAACATGAAAATCACTCATCTCCACTCACTCTGATCTAACATGCTCACAAAATCTGCTAGATGCTTAATTAAGCCCCTTGCACTCTAAACCTCATTTACCCTCTCCCTCCAACCATTTCTAGTATGAAATCTAACCCATCCTTCCTTCTTTCTTGCCATTTGAGATTTATACACCCTCTTTAATAATAATAATTATAATAAAAATAAAAATAATAATAACAATAATAATAATAATAATAATAATAATAATAATAAACAAATTTATTTCTATAAAGTACCTAATAAAATTGATACAGGGTTAGTTGTTATTATATAAATACTTTACAGAAAGCCCCTGGTTATGTAGTGCACTCTGGGCAGCCTTAAAATTAATTTGGTTTACATGAAAGCAAAAGTTTACAATGTTTGACATTAACAATTTGGTTTATGATGACATTTTTGGATACTGTTTTGCAAGTCAATTTGTTACATTGTTTTTAGTGGTTATATTGTTTGTAGTGGTTTTAATGTTTGTACCAGTTCTATTGTTTTTAGTGGTTATATTGTTTGTAGCAGTTATATTGTTTGTAGCAGTTATATTGTTTGTAGCAGTTATATTGTTTGTAGCAGTTATATTGTTTGTAGCAGTTATATTGTTTGTAGCAGTTATATTGTTTGTACTGGTTAATGTTTGTATTAGGTAGGTAGAAGATTCGCTGGTATAATCGCCCATCCCAGGCCTTTTCAAAGAGGTGGCCCAGCCTTGGTTTCCTGTCGTGGGAGTGTTCAGACCAATGTCTGCCGTGGGAGGATGTACAAGTACCTCCTCGTCTTCTGGGACCAACTGTCCCCAGGTCTAGCCCCATTCCCCGCCCCACAGGGCTCGGAAGGAGAAGCTATGCCCCTTGGGGTGCCACAAGCCGCCCACACTTGGCTTGAAAGGTGTGGCAGCTGCACAGCAGCAGACGATGTCAGGTGGTGCAAGCACTACAGGATCCTTTTGGAGCCACACCCCAGCTTTGGGAATTAAGCCTGAGTACTGGGGAAGCTCAAGAATGCCTCTTGCTGTGTGTTGCTACTGCTACTACTTCATTTGTCTGTTGCACTCATGTTTGTATTGGTTAATGTTTGTATTGGCTGATGTTTGTATTGGTTGATGTTTGTAGTGGTTAATGTTTGTAGTGGTTATTACAGAAGTTGAAATTCGTCATCGTAGGTCTTCACCTTGACTGTAATCTTAAATTTCATTTCCACATCCAGCATATATCCAAGAAAATCTCTAAATCAGTAGGGATCCTTTCCAAGATACGGTATTATGTACCCCAAACAACTCTCTTTAACCTATACCACTCTCTAATATATCCCTATCTCGCCAACAGTATTTGTGCCTGGGGATCAACCACAGCCAATCATCTTAAACTTTTAATAACCCAACAGAAAGTTGCTGTGTGTATGATCACCAGCTCCTGTGCCAGACAGCAAACCCCACCACTCTTCAAAAGCTTGAGCCTACTAAATATACGAGAAATACACTAATATTATTGTGCCAACTATATATACAAAACAATAAAATCCAATATAAACCCTCCATTCAAACTTCTTGATAGCTACAACAGAATGCACAGTCACAATACAAGACACAAAGCATTCTTCGACATCCCTCTGTGTCAGTCTCACACTATGCAAAAATGCAATGCATATAAAGGCCCCAAATATCTGAAATTCACTACCTGCACTGGTAAAAGATCCCCTGACTGCTTACAAGTTTAGAGTTATGCTTAAAAATCATCTCATCTCTCAATCTAAGCAACACAACCTTCTAATCAGTATGTAATCAACTCTTCCAAACATTATATGACCTCTAGTCTATTAAAACATCTGCTAATCCATAAAATAGTACTGTCTGAACCATTATTTGTAATATTGTTATTTGTTATGTGCAACTACAAAATTCTTATTCTTTAAATCTCCACCTTTGACTACCTTGCAATAGTATTAAGATAAACTAAGATTATTAAAAAGATAACCACTCTTATCTTGTCTAGACTTAACTAGTTTTCAAGTAATACGATTAGTTTGCCTGAAATGCCCCAGCATGATAGTGGCTTTCTTTGTACCTCACAAATCAAAATTGTAATTACACATTGTAACTGCAAAGCAATAAAATCTTTATCTCTATCATCTTTAAATGCCCAAACCACCTTAACAACCCCTTCTCAGCTCTCCGAATTAATTTTGGTAAGCACACACACCCTTCTAATTTCTACACTATGAATTCTCTGCATAATATCTAGCCTACACATTGTTCTCAACTATGAAGCAGTGAAGATGTCATACGTATTTGAGAACAATTTGTGGGGGTGAATATTAGAGAAAATTCAGAGCGATGGAAATCAGAAGACTGCGTTGGGGCTACAAAGGTATCACGTGCAGAAAACTGCATTTTGCATGTTACCATTTTATTGTACAAAAAATGAATTCAGTAAAGGACTTTATACATACCCTCCCTTCCTGTATTCAAGTAAAGCCCAGCCTTATAAATGTTGACCCCCTTTATTTTTTGCCAAGAAACCTTTACTTTTCATATACATACATACTGTACATGGTCTAGGCTGGAATACTGCTGTACACTAGCAGTGTCTTTCAAGGCAGGTGAAATTGCTGACTTGGAGAATGTACACAGAACTTCCATGGCACATATAAGTATGATAAAACACCTAAATTACTGGGAATGGTTGAAGTTCCTTGACTAGTACTCCCTGGAATGCAGGCAGGAAAGATACACAATAATATACAGCATGGGGGGCCTTACCCATCCTCAGCCCAATTTGAAGCTACTGGCAGCAAATCTGAGGTCTATGCAAAATTTGATTTGTACAATTTAGAAATTTGAGGCCTACACAAAATTTGTGTTTCTACAATACAGTGTAAGGAAAGCAGAGTCTATGGAAAGAAACAGGAGAGGTTAAAACATGTCAATTTAGATTTACTTTACAAAATTTCTCTCACATGAAGTTTTATAATGAAACCAACAGCCTTCCTTTCTTTGGCTCTTCATCCGAATACAAACTCACTCATCCAAAATCACATCTGAACAATTCGTAGAATAACCCAGTCATTTCACCATATATTCTGTGTTAGCATGCATCTTGTGAAAGATTCTGCTGTTCTTTTAATAATTTTGTGATTTATAACCAATGAATCAAAGCTGACAAGAAGAAAAGTTCTACAAATGCTACTTGAAAATATTCTATAAAGCCTATGACATTGGAAGAGAAGACCGAAACAATAAAGCTCAGTGATAGTGGCATTCCAAATTGTAATATCTGCCAGTTCTGCATCACTGTGCCTATTGTCCTCATAACATTATAGGATCTCTAATATTTATACAGGAGCCTAATCTAATGTTTCTGATGCTTGTGTGCATTTTGACAGCCAAAAAATTGGCAGTTTATTTTTTCAGTTCTTTTTTAGGATGCCTGGGAACATAACCCTCAGTTAAAATGTGCCTACGGAAAATATGATTTGCATTTAGTAAAATTCAGTTTATGAGCCCTGTCAAAGAACATAACTACATACTGTAGGCATTAGAGATGAGATTGCCTGAACTTACTGAAAGACAAGATGAAAGCAGAATTTGAAGCTTACACACAGATAGACTGAAATTTGATAAACATGTGGCACATAGTACAATAAGCTTCTGATACAATACAGTACTGTATAGATAAGTGTGAATGTTACCCAGGTAGTAAAATTTACCTTCTGATCTGACATTTAGCTGTTCAGTGACATCAAGCCCAAAACCAA